ATGTAATACATATATGACTAAAATTTGATTGAGCTTCCTAACAATCAAAGGAGAAATACAATCAGTTACATAAGCAATAAGTAACCTTGTCCAAGAGAAGTGCAACTTCTGGAGTTCAAATGTAAGGGCATTTTAAAAAAAATCATTATTATTATTGATTTTAGAGTGAGAGGAAGGAAGAGAGACCGAGAGAGACCGAGAGACCGAGAGAGAGAGAGAGAGAGAGAGAGAGAGAGAGAGAGAGAGAGAGAGAGAGAGAGAGAGAGAGAGAGAGAGAGAGAGAGAGAGAGAGAGAGAGAGAGAGAGAGAGAGATTGAGATTGCCTTCTGTATGCCTCTGGACTGGGATTGAACTAGCAATCTGGGATGTGCCCTGACTGGGAATCAAACCCATGACTCTTCGGTGTATGGAACAACACTCCAACCAACTGAGCCCACTGGCCAGGGATGAGGGTCCTTTTTTAAGATAAAGAATTTAAAACCCTAGCAAGGACCTTAGAGGATGAGGCAAATTCACTATGGGATGACTGTTAGAAGCCCGGAAAAAATGATGGCCAAACCTGAGTGAAGTGGAGAAGCCTGCGTTGCCCTGGCAGAAGCAGAGGAAGGATTATGAAGTTGAGGAAAGGGTATGCTAGAATGAAAATGTTATCTAAGGCCACAAAAACTACCAGAGGATTATATATCCCCTGGGAGGTCTAAAGGACAAGCAACTCAACAAGACCATTAAGAATGCACTGGGGCCAAGACCGGTGTGGCTCAGTGGATAGAGCGTCGGCCTGCGGATTGAAAGGTCCCGGGTTCGACTCCGGTCAAGGGCATGGACCTTGGTTGTGGGCACATCTCCGGTAGGGGTTGTGCAAGAGGCAGCTGATCGGTGATTCTCTCTCATCGATGTTTCTGACTCTCTATCCCTCTCTCTTCCTCTCTGTGAAAAATCAATAAAATATATTAAGAAAAAAAAGAAAAAAAAAGAATGCAGAGTGGTCCCAAGCTGGGCTCCTTGATGGTCATGGGTATGATGGGGCTCTTCTCAAGTAATAGAGACCAATTAGCTACCAGCAGCCAAGAGGCCACCATTACCATAATAACCTGTAGGGTCAGAGGTGCAGCCAAAGGAGCTTGGTCTGCAAGAATTGTGGAAAGGGTTAATAGTCCATGGTATCCCAAGAGGTATCATAAATGTGTAGCCAACAAAGGTACATAAAGTCTAGAAAAGTGGTCCATCACTTATTCTGAGGTCCTCTGGTGACTTACTAATATTCTTGATCTGTGAATCAAGAATCTAACAATAAGTAGGTCATTTGATGCAATAATACCATTTCGGTGAACTTCTAAGTTAATTATCTAAATACTAGAAACTGGGTGCATGAAATTTGTGCACGGGGGGAGGAGGAGTGTCCCTTAGCCCAGCCTGCACCCTCTCCAATCTGGGACCCCTGGAGGGATGTCTAACTGCTCGTTTAGGCTGGATCCCGGTGGGACAGTCGGACATCCCTCTCACAATCCAGGACTGTTGGCTCCCAACTGCTCACCTTCCTGCCTATCTGCCTGCCTGATTGGCCCTAACCACTTCTGCTGCCAGCCTGATCACTCCCTAACCACTCCCCTGCCAGCCTGATTGATGCCTAACTCCTCCCCTGCCTGCCTGATTGCCCCTAACTGACCTCCCCTCTCAGCCTGGTTGCCCCTAACTTCCTTCCCCTGCAGGCCTAATCACTCCCACCTGCCCTCCCCTGCTGGCCCAGTAACTCCTAACTGCCCTCCTTTGCCAGCCTGGTTATCCCTAACTGCTTTCCCCTGCTGGCCTGCTCCCCCTCAACTGCCCTCTCCTACAGGTCTGGTACCCTCAACTTGCTCCCCTGCAGGCCTGGTTGCCCCCAACTGCCCTCCCCTGCTGGCCTGATCACTCACAACTGCCTTCCTCTGCCGGCCATCTTGTGTCCACATGGGGGCAGCCATCTTTGACCACAGGGGGGCGGTCAGTTTGTGTGTTGGAGTGATGGTCAATTTGCATATTACTCTTTTATTAGATAGGATTACATATTTAATTAGTGTTATTTGCATGAAAAATTCATTAGGTATGAAGACTTCTGTAGTAACATGGGAAAATGCTTATAAATTAAAATAAGTATAAGAAACAATTTATAAAATTATATGTATACCATGATAATACTAATATTAAAATATGCCTAGTGAAAAAATAACTAGAAGAAAATATATAATACAGTAAGAAATTTATAGCAGGGTTGTAAGATTACAGGCGACTTTATCTTTCTAGTTTCCAATTCATTTTTTTTTTAAGGGTTTCTTTTGGCTTAAAAGCCAAATTTTATTTACACAGACTGTTCAGACTATTATAATTACTTGGGTGACTGTTACTTTCTTTTTATTTCTTTATTGATTAAAGTTCTTAACTGAATTTCATGATTTGTACAATGGTATTTCAATTCAGTTTTGTTTAATAGAACATTTTAAAGATAAATCTCATAGTTTGAATCTATTTTTCCTACTGTGATCTAGGCTCTTTTGATGAAGATTGATGGTGAAACTTATGTGTGTATGATTGTTGGTTGGATGGGATTTTCTAAAAGAGAAGTTCTAATAAGAAGTTCCTAATAAGTTCCTTCTATTAATACTTCATTACATTTGGTGTACTTCAATTCAGATGAATATTTGTAGCAGGTTTTCAGGTTTCGTGTCACATTTTACATGTTAGAAGGAAATATTTTTTACACTGTTCTTTCTCTCTCTTTCCCGTATGTTCCCTATATAGTGACTTAAATCCCCCCCCCCCCATTCTTAAATATAAAATTAAATTCCTCATCTAATTTAATTGGTGGTGACCTTTGTCAACTGTCAGCTAATTCACACAATTCCGAAGTCACATAAAATTCCTTCCTGTGCCACAGTCATCACACACTATTTTGTCTCCTGAGGCTTTTGGCCATTCTCTTGGTATCTACCTTAGATATGTTCACTTGTAATCTATAGCTCTATAATTCTATGCTATAAATCTCTTTATCCTCCAATCCATTTTCCACATTATCCCTACATTAGTGAATTTTGTTCCCCAGGAGAAATTTGGCAATGTCTGAAGACATTTTTGGTTATTGTAACTGGTCTAGGAGTGGGGGTGGGGTTTGGAGGGTGGGTGAAGGAGTGAGGGGATTGCTACTGGCATCTAGTAGTTAGAGGACATAAATGCTATGCTGCTAAACATCTTACAATGTACAGGACAGCCTTCCATAATAAAGAAGTTCCCAGCCCCAAATGTCAATAGTGCTGAGGTTGAGAAACCTTACCCTAGATCGATTCTTCTAAAATAAAAACCTGTTTAAATACCTCAAAAGCACACTATTTCTTTTAGGTAAAAGTTTTTGTATAAGGCTCATCTTTTACTCCCCAGCCACAAAGCATATACACTTATTGTCTGAATATGCCACATACCCCCTGGCTCCTATGACTTGTCTGATGCTTGTAGCTTCTTTTTTTCTTCTTAATTTCCTCAGGCTGGGTTGGGTGATTCTCCTGTGTGGTCACTTTTAGAAGATCATGAATCACACGGAATTATTGCTTATCTGTCTCTCCCACTCTACGGTGAGGAGCGAGGTCAGAAACTGAGTCTGAATTCAGCACGAGGTCAGAAACTGAGTACGAATTCTCAGCACCTGGTGCGATGCCTGGTGCAGGGTAATGGATAAACTCACCCATGGCCTTCTCTCTTTATTTCCTTTCATGAGCCCTGCAGAGCAGTCAGATTCATTATTTTTAAATATATTTTTGTTGATTTCAGAAAGGAAGGGAAAGAGGGAGAGAGAAACATCAATGATGAGAATCAGCTGCCTCCTACATGCCCCCTACTGGGGGTTAAGCTAAAAACCCATGCATGTGCCCTTGACCAGAATGGAACCCAGAACCCTTGAGTCCACTGGCTGATGCTCTATATACTGAGCCAAACTGGTTAAGGCTTAAACTTTTAAAAAGTTTTTTATATTTTTAGTGATTTGAGAGAGAGAGATTTGTTGTTTCACTTATTGATGCATTCATTGGTTGACTTTTGACTGGAGATGGAACCCGGAACCTTGGCCTATCTGGACAGTGCTCCAACCAACTGAGCTACTTGGCCGAGGCTAGATTTCAATTTTTAAAAGCTCACTGTGGAGAATTAACTAGAGATTGAGGTGATGGCAGAGTGACAATTTAAGAGGTTTGCGGTTCTTCAGGTGAGAGATCGTGGCAACGCCGACCATGTTGCTGAAATACTTGGAGAAACGAAGGGACTGGAGTGATATCTAGGAAGTAAAACGGTCAGGATTTGGCAGGACACAGCCTATGAAGAATGCATCTAAGCCATGGTGTGACCTTCAGGTACTTAAGCCTCGTTTCTTCATGAACAACATGAGGATAATCCCTATGTTGAGGAATTCTTAGTAAAAAAAAAAAAAAAATTGAAAAGTGCTGGACAAATGAAATATCAACAAACGTTAAGTTCTTACGACTATTACAAATATGTTTTTTCTTAACTTTAAAAGAGTTCTTTACATACAGAACAGGTTGGATCTGAACTAACCTATCCACGTTGGAAGATTTATTTCTTAAATTCCCGTTAGCCAAGGGCTACCCACACTCGCCTCTTACTGGGTCGGGGGACAGGGGCCGAGGGCTCGGATGGATGCACCACCGCGCACAGAGACTCGGAGGGTACGCCACCCTTGGCCGGGGCCACCCTGAGGCTCCATCCGGACCATTTTTTTCTTCTGATCTCCCACGGCCCGGACCGGTGTTTCTAAAAGACGCTGTGAACCCCGCGGAGGTAGAGGCGGGGGCGTGAGCGCAGCCGGATGCGGGCGTGGCTGCGAGGCTGGAGCGCCGGCGGGCGCGTCGTCGGCCCCGCAGCCTCCGCGGTCCCCGCCCCCCTTTCCGGGCCGCCGCTCGGGACGTCACGAGGGGGCGGAGCCGGCGGGGAGGAGGGAGGGAGGGAGGGAGGCGAGGCCGCCGCGGGGAGGAGGAGGAGGAGGAGGCGGTCGCGTCGCCGAGCGCAGGCCGCGGCGGCCGCCGAGTACCCAGCAGCCGTCAGCCGCCGAGAGCGCGGGGCCTGCGCCCCCAGCCGGATCGCTCCCCTCGGCGCCCCTTGATCCGCACGCCGGGGCCCCGCGGGGCTGGCCGCCGAGCGAGCAGGCCGCCGACCGACCGGACCCGCGCGGCCACCCGGAGCCCCCCGGCCCGCGCGCACACGGAAGTGGTGAGTGAGTGTCGCCGAGGGGAGGTGGGGAAGCCCGCGGCCGCGGCGGCCGGTCGGTCCGTGCGCGCCGGGTCCCCCCGCCCCGCGCTGCCGGCGAGCGCGGCGCCGGCCCGAGGCCCCGGCTGGCGGAGGTGCGAGCGGCGGACGGCGGGCGGGGGATTTCCAGGCGCGCGGAGCGGAGCGCGCCGGCGGCGGGGAGCGCGCGGGGCCGGGGCCCGCGGCGGAGAGGGGAGAGGGGGAGCCTGGCCGCCCCTCCCGGGGAGCGCACGCACCGAGTTTCCCCCGCTCGCCCGGGGCGCGCGGACATCCTGTTTATGCCGCCCGGGCTGCCGCGCGGGCGGGCGGGCTGAGGTCCCCCGCCGCCCGCAGAGTGTGGCCGCCGGCTCCCCGGTAGCATGGCCGGGGGCGCGGGGAGGTTTCCCTCTGGCCTCGGGATGGATGGAGGCTGGGGGGCGTAGCGGTTTTCCTCCTGGGCCGTGTCGGCGAGGGAAAGTTTCTGGGATTGGGGGCCGCCTTCGGGGCGGCTGGTGGGTGTCGTCTGTGGAGGCAGAAAATGCCCCCTCCTCTTTGGGGTGCTATTAGGAACCAGGCTCCAGGCAGGTGTCTTCCCCCCCCCCCCCCCCCCCAAGGGCGCGAGGCACACCCGGGGGTACAGGGATAGGAAAGAGGAGGGACAGGGGGAGACAGGGAGACGGGGGGGTGGGGTGGGGGGAGAGAGAGAGAGAGAGACAGAGAGAGACAGAGAGAGACAGGGACAGAGACAGACACACACACACACACACACACACACACACACACACCTCGGGAGTTGCACATCCCACTGTAAAAGGACATACTGACTGAAACTGGGGCTCACTCCTCTGATCCCATCCGCGCGGTGGTCAGGAATGAGAGGGACATCGCATGAACAGTCAACTCCCTATCACAAGTCACTCCTCAAGATTCCAGGGTTGTGGGCTCCTTGCTTGTGGGTTTACCGAGGACCGGGGAGGGACAGGACCAGATAAAAGGTCTGATCATCGCCAGGTGTTTGTGCACATTAAAAAAAAAAATTGGATGTCTATTCTCTGTGAACTCCTATGTGCCTCTGGGTAAGAGAACCTTGTCCTTCCTGCCGCTCCTTTTAATACGTGTCTGTGAGCTGCCTTCTCTGCCCCTGGTTGGATACATGTTATTAAGATTCTTCTTTTCTGTTTAGAATCAAGATTTTTTTCTCTTAGTTGCAGTCGTTTTTGTTTTGTTTTTTACAACGGTATAAAATTGTCATTCTTTTGAGTGAGGAAAGCATTAACACCCTTGCAGAGAGAGTTAAGCATACCGAGTATAATGCAGACACAATTAGATGTGATCGTGGAGTATGATTGTTGGTTGTTTTTTAAGAAAAGGATTCGAGTATGGCCATATGCGCAGTGGCAGCGGGGGTGGGGGGGAGTGTTTAAAGCGAGCATTTTATATTGATTAAATCTTTATTCTTTGTTTTCAAAACCCCATTTTGAATTGTTTCTTGCTTTTGCTGTTGATGACTCTGATGTTTTCTAAGACCTGAGAGTTGTTTTCACTGAAGGATCAATGTGTTCTTTTGTACTCTGTGGTGAGGGTTAATGGAGACCAGACACTTTGGGTACAATATGCTTTGTAATATGGAGAAAATGTCTTCTATATATAGATCCAGATCACATTTAAAGTACATCATACTTGAGTATTTGTGGGCATTATGAATATGATACTCACAAATTCTTCTTAATTCTACAATATATGTTATATTAACTAAGCAATTAAATAGTTGCAAAATATATTTTTTAATACTATAGTGTGCCACTCTGCATTAAATAAAAGTCAGTTCAAATAGTTTGCCCAGTCCACAATATACTAATTATTACTATTGGGAAATTATGATAGAGGGTGACTACATTATACATATATAGATAAAATAATTCAAACATTGCCTAAAATATAACTACATTTCAATTACATTCATCATTTGGGTAGCCTTAATATCATTTTGGCCAATGCTATACAGGTACTTGTAATTATTTCTGATCATGAGGCATCTACTCTTTACAGATTTAAGTTACTAGGGGGAATTAGATTGCAAAATCTTTTCAGTTCAGGCATGTGCTAAAAAGATGGTGAAAATAATGAATTTTGAGGGTGGAGTTGCATTTGCAGGAATAGAAGCTCAGATTAAATAGCATGAAGAAACTTAAACTGTGTATCTATAATAGGATTGTGAGGTTGGCCAGTTTAGATTCTGGGTTCACAAATACTAGGGTCAGACAATAAATTCTAGTAATATATTCTAAAGTTATTTGATTTCTTCTGATCGCTTTAAGTAACACATATTTGGATAGAAACCCAGCTGAAGCAAGTATTGAGAACATATGTAGGTTTATATGTACTCAGTTTTATACAAGGAACAGTAGGTATAATTGCATTAATAAGGTTTATTAGCAAAGAACAAGATCTGTTTTCTAACTACTCTGATAAGGATTTTCCCTCCTAACCACATATATTCATTTTATATATCTTCATTATGTATATACTTATTGTTATAATGAGATGATATACTTTTAGATTTATCCTTTACTATGTGAATATTTGTACAAGGAGATTTTCTTACTCATTTCTACATTTTAAAAAATGGTTTTAAGTGGATGGGGAATTGGTTACTGAACCAATTGGTTAATTACTTGATGAGCAAGCAGCATCTGATTCACTGTGGTTTATTGTGGTCCAGTGGTATATGGGGCCTTGTTATAGAGATACCAGATAGAGCATCATCACAGATCCTTTTAGACCAGTGTTTCTCAACTGGGTATGATTTTTGGGTCCAATGAGTTATTTGTAGTTTCTGGAGACATTTTGTTTTGTTATAACTTGGTGGCGGTAGGGAGAGGGGACTGCAGTATTATTTCTACACAGTGGGTAGCAGAGAGGATGCTGCTGCTAAACAGGAATGGGGCCGCCCCTGACAACAGGTCAGTAGTGCTGGGCTTGGGAAATCCTGTTTTGGAATGCCAGGTAGGAAACGAGAAGACTCATGCTTCTGTCATGGGAAATCGGTGCACTTCAGACTCCTGAAAAATAGAATTAAAAATCTTCACCGTGGCCATCTCACGAATGTGTTGGCACAAATCAGATAGGTAATGCATGGAAACTGAGTGCAAACACCAATTCTAACTTTATGAAGACATGATATTTTAAAATAAACGAGTTATTACATGTACTGGTGGTTAAGGCAGTATGTTGAGAAGATTGGATAGTTTGGTATTGAGCTTTTTTGCTGTTTTTTTTTTTTTTTGATAAAGGATTTTTAAACGTTGTTTTCTTATCAGAGCATGCACTTTTTAGCTCAATAATTTCTTTAAACATAAAGGTGAATTCCTCATAACAAGAGGGAAAACTCACTGTAGAAAAATTAGAAAATTTAGGAAAGTTAGAGGAGAAAAGCCATTGTGGTCAACTCCCTTCCCCATTAAGCACAATCGAGCTCTTCCCAATTTCTTTTAAGAGTCATTAAAATTGGAAAGAAAGTTAATGATGGGGAAAGGGGGAGCACTTGGTGCCCAAGGAAGGTGCTGTTTGTTTCTGCGTTCTTCATTTTATCCTTCTTAATGATACCATGTACAGCTAAAATCAGTTAAAAGCGACAGAAAAATTGGCTCATTGCTCTCATACTTTGCAGGCTGCCCTCCAAGCCCTGCTCTCATTAGGCATGTTGTTTCCTCTCTGCTTCTTGTTCTCCCCTGCGCTGGGCTAGGTGTGCCACTATTGCTTCCTGTCTTGAAAACCCTATGGTAACGTGGGGTTTTAAATAGCTGCCATGTTGAAATAATCGGGTTTCAAGGGCAGGAAGCTACTTTCCTATGAGTATTCTTCATTCTGAAGTGCACTAACTTTTTTAAGCAAAAAGAGAGAATACAACATTAAGTTCATTTCTGTGATATATTTATTTGTAAGGTTTTATGATCTGTGATTCTTAACAACTGGCAGTGGCCACATATATTTTCTCTGGTGCTCTGTGAATAAATCTAAGTCAGATCTGCTTTAGAAGCAAAGTGAAAATTTCTATTGATTTATGAGAGAGAGAGAGAGAGAGAGAGAGAGAGAGAGAGAGAGAGAGAGAGAAACATCTTATTTGTTCCACTCATTTATACATTCATTGGTTGATTATTGTACGTGCCCTGACCAGGGACTGACCCCACAACATTGTCGTATTGGGATAATGCTTTAAACCAACTGATCCGCCCAGCCAGGGCACAAAATGAAAATTTCTTTAAGTCTACTCTGGCCAGAAGACAGAGCTGGTCTCTGTTGGAATATGTTTATCTTTAGTAACTGAATTTACTTAACATAATATTCACACAGCACTTGGTTCATATATTCATTCAGTAAATACTGCTGTGAGTCTCAAAAGAACAAAGGCAAAAATCCTTGCCCTTTCAGAGTTTACAGTATAGTGGAAGACCCCTGGCCTGTTCATTCAGTGTTTCTCAGTTGCAGATTTTACACATTCAACTAAGAAAATCCTACTTAGTGGTTGTAGAACGTTTTCTAGAAACCTTCATGGCATTCCTGAGAACTAAGAAGTAGTCTCTTCTTCCCCCCCCCCCCCTTTTTTATTTTATTATTTTCTTTACAGACTAATTAACTCATTGTTTGTAGATACTAACATCCCTTGGGTACCTACTTAGTTCCTGGCACTGAAGAGAGTTAACTCTGCTTGGAGCAAGTGGTGGGTGGAGTAAGAAGCTGCTGTCAGGATTGCAATAGGACAAGCTCAAAGAATAGGTTTTCTTTAGAGTGAAAACCAGTGAGGAATCTGGTCCACAAAGTTATTTTTCACTTGATCTTAGCCAAAAGGCAAACTTACTTTAACCATTCAGGGAAAGTTATTTAAGAGTGATCTGTGAGAGGAGGCTGACTCTGAGAAACCTAAAAACTGAGCTGTGGCTTGCAAAGAAGGCAGTAATAACTTGAGCCCAGTTGGGGGAGACTAA